CTGCAGGGCGTGCGGCCGCCGCCCCTATGCTCCCGCTCGCGAGGAAGGGAAAATGGTTACCTTGGGCAGCGACCGGAGAGGAGACGCAACGGCGACCTTGGACGGCGGCCGGAGAGGGGCGACGGCGACCTTCGGGAGGCGGCCGGAGAGGAACGGGAGCGGGAGCGGGTGTTTTTTTCGGTCGTGGGAGCGGGAGCACGAGCCCACGAGCGTGGCTCGGTCGTGTTTACTCCCACGCCAGGTACGCTCGTGGTAGCGATGTCTAAATGTGCACGACGTGATACACGATCCACTGGGAAGGCTTTTTTGATCTTGATAGTGTAAATTTAGCATCCACCTCCATATACACCATCCACTAGAGATGCTCTAAGCACGCGTGCGGTGGGGGCCCGGCCGCATCCACTTCTCCTGTCCACATCTGGCCCCCACCACTCCCTTGCTTCCTCGCCGGCGACAGGAAACCCTAGGCCGCCATGGGCATCTTCTGCAACAATGGCAAGGCCAAGGGCAAGTGTACCCCCGGCGCCTCGTCCTCCCGTGATCCCCCTCCCCCGCCACCGCCGGCGCGTTTCAGCCCGGAACGCCGGCGCCTGCACATCCCGGTGCACCAAGCGCGGTGGCACTGGGAGTACAGGGCAGCCCCTCCCCTACCCCGACGTGACGCTGCCGCATCATTGGCACTTGGATCCCCAGCGGATCCCGGTGCCGATGGTTCCGCGGAGCCAGGGGCGCACGACGAGGAGGTGCGCTGGCTCCGCGCGCAGCACACGCCGGAGCAGGGTCGGCTGCCTGAGTACGCCGCCGACTCTCCCAACTGGGAAGCTTGGTTCGCCCTCGAACACGAGGAGCAACGACGCTTGGGTGTCGACACCGTCCCGCCACCGTTCCCAGCGCCGCCCCCGCAGGTACAGCCGAAGGATGAGCAGGCGGAGGCGGAGTAACAGGCCACCCTCGAGGAGGCCCTGCAACAGGCGCTGGAGGCTAGCCGCCTCGAGGAGGACACGCGCTGGGATGGGCTAGAGCAAACCCTCGCCCTGTCGGCGGCGGGGACTCCGTCCACTCCCCGCTGTTCGTGCCACCACCGCCACCCTCGCCGCCCATCCAGCCAAAGCCGGAGCCGGAGCCGACGCGAAAGCGCTCCCCGCCTCCACCCATTTGGCCGGAGGAGGCCTACTCGTGGACGGGCTAGTACCATGAGTGGGTGAGCGCGCCCCCCGTCCATTTCGCCGCGATGCCGGAGCAGGAGGCTGCCCACCTTGAGCGCTGGAAGGCGCACAACGGTGAGCAGCAGATGCGCTACGAGGCCATGCTCCAGCGCGATGCGGAGGCGCTCTGGCTCGAGGAGGAGGAGGAGGAGCGCGCGCGGTTGGCCGCAATGCCGCCGCCCTAGCAGACACCGGAGGAGGCTGCCCTGGCAGCATACCAGGCGGCATTCGGATGGGCAGGCCCTGCTCCGGTTACACTATGTAGTTGGTTTTCTGAAAGATCTAGCACAATGTGACCGGTTAGATTTGAAATCGTAGGTGGAATTTCACCAACTAAGTTTATTCCCAATGCAGTGAAATATTGCAGCTGGCCTGATAAATTTCCTACATAGTTAGGGAGGTTTTTTTTCGAAAGGGGGGACTCCCCGGCCTCTGCATCAGAATGATGCATACAACCAACTTATTAAAAATATAAATAGATTCAACAAGGTCTTATTGTCTTAAAATAAAAATAAAGGAGAGCTCACAAAGAGCCAAAAGGGCCAAAAACAAACTGGCCAACAAAAGCCACAACTGGCTGGCATAAGAGAGACAGGTAAACTAATTGCCTATCCTATTACGTGACCGCCATCCAAACCGGTTGAAAATATCCCGTGCTACCAACTCCCAGCGGGTAGATCCAGTAACCAAACGCTCCCTGGCCTCCGTCGGAGTGAGTAGAGACCACATATGGATCAACGCAGTGGCTTGGAAAATAACCTGCAAAAAATGAATATTTGTTGTTCTGATAAAGACCAAATCATTTAT